CAGTGAGCAGTGAGCAAAGATGCGATTGAGGTGGATGACATGTAGTCTTAGTTGGAATGTAGGTGTCTGCACAGGCGAGACTACCGTTTGCCATTCATGCATGCAAAAATATCCCTGAGGTGGGCTTTCAATGCGCCATCTGCCACCACACCAGTCCCACACCATCTGTCGTGGTCTGGTTGTTTGAGTGGGCGTCCCTCATGCCCAGTGCGACTGTTGCTGTCCCGCGGATAGCACCAACAAGAGAATGGTCTTGGTGTCACCGAATTGTCCCTCTCTACTTCGTCAACGAGTGCACTCGCAATTCGTTGGACAGGTGTGGAAGTGGGGTGGGAGAGAGAAGAAGGAACGCTGTGTTTTCAGTTAAAGGATTGGTTGGTTGGTTGGTTGGTTGAAAGAAATGCTTCACAATGCAATGCAATGCAATGCAACAGTGTACTCTGCCTTCCGTCAAAACACAAATGACCGACATGGAAGGTGGCATGTTGCAGATGTCAACTGACGAATGACTCTCTGGTTGGTCGGATGGCTGTCTAGCAGTCCGGCTGGCTGTGTGTTTGGGTGAGTGGGTGGGTGGATGAATGGGTGCCAGCCTGACCTGAATGTCATCGTTGCGAGAGGGGGTTGCTGGTGCAGTCAATCATGGGGTGGGTGCAGGATGAAGCAGTGGTCACGACAAGTTAGGGTCTGTCTTAGTGGCGAGGAAGAGGAGTGAGGGAATGAGAGGTTAGTGACCATGATTATCGACGTTGCAAATGCTATGTGAAATAGGAGTTTAACATGACGAGCGATGAGCAAAACAAACGGCAGTGCAGGACGTTGCACTTCTTTACTTCCTTTTATTGGCGTTAAAGCCAGTAGAGGTTTGCTTTTACCAAAGTGGGTGGTAGATCTGTGCCATTTTCATCCATTGTTGTTTAGGCAGAATTTGTTAAGGGGTAAAATCTTGCCTTAAAAAGAGAATACAACCATAGCTTGCTTTAACAGAGCCCGTCGCTATTAAAATTCAACCAAATTTTTGGAATTATCATATAGTTTGGCCCTTTTTAAGAACTTTTATCCAACGTAGAACGGTGACCTGAAGAGCATCAAATAGCCAAGTACCTGATTTGGCCGCTAATTTATTGCCTTTTCCTCTGCATTCCCACAAATTCAGTCCATCTCCGCATTTCCTTTCATTCCACAAGTGCTAAAATAGCAGTGAATCCTGACTACGGCAAGCATTTCGCATATTTGTTTTGGATTACGAGTCAATCTCGAAAGCACTCTTAGTTGCAAGTCTTTGCAATGCTTAAGCCATGCTTGATAAAGATCTGATCACCTAAGCATTTTCTTTCCTGCTAAATAAGACCACCTGAAATTGGCTTAGATTAATTGGAGCAAAGGAGAGAGATCTTCCGAGGCCCAGAAGATTCCAAAGTCCCTTTTTTCCCTCTTACCAAGCCCAAATTCCACATCAAAGGATCACGCGAATAGCCTATGCATCAGTACAGACGTGATCCCGTCCGAGAACCTCCCCACCGCACAGGCGTTAAAATTGTTTATATTTGAGAACCTTAGAAAATATAGCTGAAAAATAGTTGATATTAGTGACAAATTTAAGTTCCTGAGGCTTTGTTTTAAAGGCCAAAAAAAACAATTGAAGTCATTCAAACACTGTCGATCACTAAGACTTAAGCATTTGGAGTTTGTTTCTGAGGCCTCCCAAAGTGAAACCAAGGAGGAAGCAACTTTTAGTGCCTTATGGTTGCAAAAGACTTTAACTTTATCTAGAACTCATCGAAAACGACCAGAAAACCGCTAAAGTGTGTGTGGACCAATAGACGCCGAGCGTAAAAAATCTACCAATAGGAGGAGAGAGAAAGGCGCTTTCAAATTCTAAGATTGTGAGAAATTATAGCTCGAGGCAATGTCTTATCACAATCTCCTTCAAACACGAAGCAATTAAATGAACCCAAGAAATGGAGCTTCAAGACAAAGAAAGAGATGAAAAGAATAGCCGATCCTCAAAATTGGATTACGAATTACTGCTTAGGAAAGCATTATGCCTGGTTCCAAAGCACCAAACAAACACCTTTAGACGTCTGCAAAAAATCAAACAAGTTTTTAAAATACGTCAAAGTTAAATGGGATACTATCAAAAGAGAGCAGGTACCTGTGGTGTGATTTGGAGTCCCCACTGGGTGAGACGGGAGTAGAAAGGAGGGAGTCGTTTTGTGCTGCTGCCGCCTTCCTCTTAGCCGCTTTGTGACGCTCATAGAGGATAATGGTGATGAGGAGGATTATCAACTCCGCCAAAATGCCAATAAATGGCCATAAAGCAGCGAAACGACCTTGAGAAGGATAAAAAAGAGGTGTTTTGATGAGGCCAAAGCCTTGGTGTTGACAAAATCCAGATTTACAGTCTGGTGAGCCTTAAACTTAGAGACCAAGAGTGAGATGTTCAAAAAAACGTAGAATCAATGCGTGATGAAAAATTGGGATTAATTTAACGGGAGTGGGATGAGGCAAATGAGAGGCATTGCTGTTTCATCAATCAGCAATGATAATGAGGCATAACCGTAGGGAAAACGTACTGCTATATTATTAAATGCAACAGGCAGTTAGTTTTAAAACAACTAATAGAGGTGGAAGCAGCATCGGTACCCTAACAGGCCTTCTCTTTCAGTCTTTGCTGTGGCTTAGAATGCCCTTCAAAAATAAAAAAAAACATGAAATATTCGATTGTAAGTTGAAGACGTGGGAAAGACGTAAGGAGGAGAGAGAAAGAAGCTGGCTTCAACCCTAAAGCACCTTCCCACCACGATCGCAATGACTAGCATTCGTTGCCTCAACGACTATTGTTGCTTGATTAGCGAATGCCACAAGCAAACGAAGGTCAGTTATGTGCCAAAAATGGACGAAACCGAAGATAACCAAGTGGCTCTAGGATTCCCCCACTCGAACAGTCGTAACTTCCCCACCCTCCTTATCCTGTGAATACACGTGCCCTGGCTGTTGGTTTCTCCGATTCGGGGAATGAAAGGTGCCAAGCTACGTTAAAGTTGCATCTTGCTGATCTCAGTGGTACTAACCCGCGTGCCAAATACCGGAAGCGAGACTAACTTTAACGACGGTCACAAAGAAGCGAGACAATAGTTGATTGCCAATTTCATGTAAAAAACTTCCTTTAGAGACATATTTGAGATTTTGAAGGAGGAGGTGAAGTACACCCACATTATACGACCAGGTGGACCTGAGAGGAATGGCAGATTATATGACCTTAAGTGGTAAAGTTCAAGGGTGGAGGGGAAGGGGAAGAAGGAGATATCCCGTGAAGATAATTAGGGGAATAAAATGCGGTCCTGCTGGAGCCTGATCCAATCCAAAGATGGAATTCGGAAGGCGTACCTTATTGAGATCTTTGAGTCGACGGAGGAAGAGGAAGAACTCGCTCAACAAAAAGAGCGATCGCCTTTCCTCAGGATAGAGATTCTTAAGTGCATGAAATGGCTTAAGAAAAACACTCATATTTGAACACAATCACCCGCGTGTCTAGGTGGATGTCATGTGACCGACTTCGATTTAGCAGGGCAGCTATTTTAGCCATCCGGCTTAAAAATTATTGCCCCTCTGAGTGAGGATGGCCGAAAACGACCACATAAAGGGGGAAGAAACAGAGTCCTGTCACATTATTGGAAAGGTAGAGGGGATATGCGTGCGTCTAAAGTACAACCTAAGCAGTGAGAAAGGGAAAGAAAGCTCTTTTCCTCTCTCTCTCTCTCTCTCAACAGAAAAAAATGCACCAGGCGCAGATTTTGAAGTTTGAATCAATTATGCGAATGTGGGTAACTGCAGAACACCTTCATTAACTGGTTAACTGGCGATTTGGATAGGAGAGGACTTAAGAGCCCCACCACCCTGTGCTCCAATCAAAGGACCTTAGTTCCGACCCTCTCCTACAACATCCTCTCCTTCTCCTCAGACGCTGTAGTTGCGGTAATAGAATGTGGACTTCAGCCAAAACAGCAAATAACCAGATTTCCACTGTTAGTAAATGCACATCAACGGAGCGGGAGAAGTACGCAGGCCGCGGATGGGAGAGTTGCTGACGCCCCCTAACATAGAGGCTGAAAATGACGCCTATCTTTGACATTTATCTCAGTACTGTAGCCTGGAGGAGTTATTAATAGGTGAAGAGGTGCTAGCTGTGGATAAATCATACGTCTACGATACCACGTCTATGCCCTCCCAATCGTCTTCCCATACAGGACAAAATTCCGGACACAGTGGGACTATCGAGAGATATTCAAGACCTCGGCGTCGAGGAAGGACTTTATTACAGCAGAAGAATAACCAGAGGACGACGATGAGAAAAAAAATAAGCAAAACTTTAAAGTTAAGTTTACCTCTTCACAATGAGCCACTTAGGGACTCCATGATTAAAGCCTATGCCAGATAGTCTGATGTACAGGATATACTACTGACTCTCAGCACATATTCTACCCTCATTTTGTCTTCTTGGACTCTCAAAAAAAAAACAAAAAAACAAAAAACAAAAAAACGCCAAGCCAACTAGGAGGCAAGAAAGGATTAAATTACAAAATCAGAGGATTTTAGAGCCTAGACTAGTACTAGCAATCAAGATGTTAAGTTTGAATCACCCAGCTCAACTTACCATTGGATTTGATCACCCCACCACCTCTTGACCACGAAACAAACAAGTTTAGACAGCATACAAGCGGCAACAATACGCAGTGAATTTGAACTCTCGTGCACCAACATGCAAATTAAAAAATGCACGCAGCACAGCAAGTGTGTTGTCGCACTCAGAGAGAGAGTAAAAAAATGTGGGCTTTGGATAGAGGCTTTGCAGTGCCAATAAAGCGAGTGAATGTTCAGTTTATTGAGCTACACGAGTAAAGTCCTCTGGGCAGTGTTTTCGTGTTTGTCAGTGTCGCAAATGTTGTCAACTTCCCTTAGCTTTGTCGACAACTTCAGACCACGAAAGTGCCAACTTCGGTCGAATGAGGTTGGACTTACACGGTCCAGTTGCGAAATACGATCCAGTGCCACCGGCCACAATAAAGTTAACAAAATCAGGGCGTCGTGTACATGTGACACCCGTGTTGAGCATCGAAATACGGAAAAGGCAGATAGAAAGGCCACAGTTAAATGCGCAGCTGCCTTTCCACGAAGTGGACCACGAAAGAGGTGACAAAAAAGCGCATTCACTTTGCCTGAAACCTACCGGAGCACCTGTGAGGCTACCGAAATGGGTTTCCGGTGCAATGCAGCCCTGAAGCCGCTCATCCAAACGGCTGTGCATTTACAGGACGGAGACGACACTGGACATTTTTAAAACGAGTCATCAGTAAGTCTTGCAATGACGACCACGGGTCAG